TAAAAAATTACTTTGTATAAATTCCGGTTTAAAAAATGTACTCGTACATTAAACTTTATAATCTTTTTGCATGTTACAATAGTTTCAAAAAATTTATCTTATATATATATATATTGTTAACATTTTTTCGGTTTGAAATTGTTTTGAACAATTTTAAGTTTTTATTAGATTTTTATTTTTATATAATTTTTGAAAGTTTTGATATTTTTTATATGAAGTTTTTTTTAAATAGTTAGAATAATAAAACATATATTATATATATTTTATAAAATTTCCTGCATTCCTAAATATTTCATGTTTACATTTTTTATTTTCGTGTTTTGTATTTCTAATTTTCCATACATTTTTTATATTTTCATATTTTTTCAAATTTAAATTTCTCTTTATATTTTTTAAAATATAAGTCACAAGTTTTCAATTTTGATATTTTAAACATTTTTTGAATTTTTATTTTGGTTTATAATTTTTTATTTTTAGAATTTTATTATTTCTCTAATTGCTTTCATCGTTTTTACCTATTATTAGATTTTTACATATATATATATTTCTGTTCAAAATTGAGCACTTCCAACAATTTCTATTAATTATTGATGAGGAAAACTTGTTTTCATTTTACACGTAGCAATGATGAGAGTAGCTAAACAAATCACACTCTTTATTACTCCGTAAAACCAACTTACGCTTTTGAGTAGCTTCTACAGGAGGCCCATGTCAATAGATTTGCTATTTTTGAAAAGAAAAGTTAAGCAAGTCTCTATTTGGAAAAAGTTTTAAGCATTGATAAAAGTGATATTATATTCACTTTATGCATGTCTATTTGTGATATTTTCCCTATGAAGAATACCATTTTTTGAGCCTTAGGATCTTTTGGGTCCTGTGCGGTTGGGCTGCCTACCCATGCTTTGGGCCGGCCCTGTCTATAGTTATGATAATGGGCATCTACGCGACCCAAGGGGGTAGGGCTGAGCAAAACCCGATCCGACCCGATAAACCTAATTTTTTTCCCGGATGATATCTGTTTTGATATGGGTATCCAAACCGACAACCCATATCCGAAAATTTGAACACCATTGGGCGGTACCCGGGTTGCGGGTAGGATTTATAAATCCCAAACCCGATCTGTCCGAATATCCGAAATACCAAAACGATGTCGTTTAGCGTTTTATATACTTCGTTTTTCCAAACAAAAGGAATTTTATTGAAAAACTGAAAATAGTACAATGCAAAAAAGATCGAAGAAGGAAGAACGGTACAAAAGCAAAGGAAAAAAATGAGGAAACGAAATATAGAGCTAGTCCCATGGGAAGTCTCTGGATTGAGATGTTGTGGTCATGTTGTGCCGCCTTTTGTTTTTCTTATTTTTTCTGTAAAGTTTTAGTTGTGTGTTCAGGTTATCAGTTGGCAAACTTCGTATATACATACTTATACCTTTTCTAACCGGCCTAACCCTATCCGCCTCTTCGATATGTCTTCGACTCTAGGGGAGAGCACGGGTCGGGTTCGGGCGGGTCTTTTGTGCGGACACCAAACCCGTTCGGATTTTATAATGTACATCTTGAACCCAACCCACTGAGTTTGGATGTCGGGTTTTTTCAGATATTAGAATATCGGTTATTTTCGGATATCTGATCGGATATGGATTACTCCAGTTATACTTAAAACACATATTTTAATATCTGATTTTTTTTATATCAGATCCGATTTTTTTCAATGTGTTTTAAGTATAACCGAAGTAACCGATATTTGATATGATATCCGAAAATAACCGATATTCTAATATCTGAAAAACCCGACATACAAACTTAGTGGGTTGGGTTCAAGATGTACATTATAAAATCCGAACAGGTTTAGTGTCCGCACACCTGACTTGCCCGAACGCGACCCGTGCTCTCCCCGGGGTGGGGGGCTACAATATTTTTTGCAGATACTTGTGATCATGTCATAACGACCAAAGTGACATCTACTATTGATAATTCATGATGATCGGTCGAAAGTTCTGTCAAAGCTTTAACACTTCTTATCTATCATTTTATACAGACCACACATCGGTGTCTTTTCATTAATGATGTGTCAACGAAACACCACAATGTATCCAGATTTTAATTTTATTTTGAAGAATAAAAGGTTGAACAAAGACATGACGTCCCGATTCATCGGATCGTCATGACTCATGAGGGGGGGGGGGGGGGGGGAAGCGGTCCAAATGTTTATAAAATTTAAAAGATCATTCTCGCACACTTCTCTCCTCCAACACAAACATCTTCCCACCCAGATTCAAATCAAATGGCTAGCATATACTCATGACTCAACCGTTATTTGTCGGTGTGTCACCAATAAGTTCTCCACAAAAGCATTCACATCAAATAGTCAAAATTTAAAGACTACATTCTCAAGGAGACATAGATCAGATAATCAAATTCAGAAGATGAATCTCGTGTGCGCCTAAAACTCTTCAAAACACTCAATACAGAGGCGCCATCAGACTCCTTTCAAGCTGATCAGGAGCAATTTCTGAAAGGCAAGGATTACAAGCAAGAGTTTGAAAATTCCTCAACCCCCGACATCAAAGAACAAATTGCAGCCTCCCATCACAGATTACAAGGCAAGGACTTCATTGCAGGTGATCTCAAATGATCTTCAATGTCCCATCACATTACATATTTTTGCAACCACACTCAGCAACATCAGTCGCTTCTTTTCTTTGTGGTTCATATAGACTATTCTGTTCTTAGGCTCATCAAAAATGTGAAGAGGAAGCCACTCGTTGAGTCCTGGTCCAGACAACTTTGGCTTTGTAAGGTTTTCTTTGGGAAGATTGTTTTCTAGGGCCATTTGAAGACCACAGACAACACGGACTCTCACTTTCCTTGGTTGATTGCTCCATATCCCTTCTTGAGGATCTTGTTCTTTCTCATAGGGAATTTCCTGTATATCATGGACATGTGATAGACATCATCCATTTTGAGCAGCATGAAATCGGATTCCTGACAGGTAAATTATGTCTCTTCTATTCATTTGATCTTGTAGACTTGGAACCTGATTCCTCCGAGTTCATCTTCATCGTATTTATAAATAAAATTGTGTCGGTTCTTTTAAAACTGTCGCTTATGTGATCCCGCAAATTGATGTTTTGCTACTAGTGAATGTATTTCATTCCTTATATGCTAGCGACTCACCTCTTTGAAGACATGATACCATTGGTGAAATCAAGATGTTAGCATTGATCAAATCTGGTTGGACTTAGCAAATCTGGTTGAACCTGGTTGAACAGGTCAAACAAGTTGTTCGTGCTTAAGGACTGGTTAATCGGCTCAATGGTAATCATCTTCATCACAAACTTCTTTTTTCCTCTGTCCATCCCATCTCCGTAATCGAATGCATAGTCGGTCTACACGATAGAGGAGCGTTTGGCTTTTTCGTTTCAGAAGAAATACGGATTGTATGGAACAGATCATTGACTAGTACATGAAGATGAATATGAATGAGGAAGTGGAGAAACTGGACCAGGATGAGATTGAAATCGACGAGGTTCCCGTCAAGGAGTCTCCTCCGGGTTATCCGGTGGTGGGAGTGCTACTAACAGATAGGAAATCAAGTTTCCGGTGTTCAAAGAGCTTATGGCTTCTCTCTAGAGGCGAGGGAAAGGTGTTTCGATCAAAGAAATCGGGGTCAAGAGGCACCTTTTTACTTTTAACCATTCAATTGATATGAAACGTGTTCTTGATGGAGGGCCGTGGCAGTAGTTTGAGAGGAATCTATTGATCTTAAAAGAGGTTAAATCTGATGATATCCCTCATAAGATGCATTTGAATGAGGCAGATTTTTGGGTAGAGATGCATAATGTTTATTACAGGTTGATGAATTTAGGGACAACTAGGCGTGTGGGTAATTTTATAGGGAAATTGATCAGCTATGATGATAATCAGTTTGGGGGAAAATGGGTGTCATACTTGTGGGTTATAGTTTGCATGAATGTGGAAAAACCTCTGAAAAGGGTACAACCCTCAAGAAAGAAGGAATTGGGCACTGAGTGAATTTCAAATATGAGAAACTGCCCAATTTCTGTTTCGATTATGGTATTATAGGTCACTCTGAAAATTTTTGCCCCTTGGCGTATGAAGAAAATTTGGTTTTGGAAAAAACTTTTGGGGTACACCTTCGAGCAGGGAGCGGGGTGAAGAGTAGCTCAACAGGAGGAAACAAATGGCTGATGGTCGGATCTTCAAGCTCGAGTCGGGAGAATTAGTATAAGGAGGACAATGGGTCGGATGGCAGAACAGGAAGGGGTGGGACGGACCAGAGTCTACATCACGAACAACCATTAGCTCAACAATAGATGTGGAAGTGGGTAATAATGAAGAGGTGTCTGGAGAGAAGAAGTGGAGGCGCATCTCGGAGGCCCAGGAAATAGAAAAGCATATGGGAGATAACATGGCTCTCGACGGAACAAAAAACGGGGAGGAGGCGGGCTTCGAGGAGTAAGCCCGCCAAAGCTGTGCACTTAAGAGGCAATGCGTGGACAGTGGAAGGTGGTGGTGATCAGAAAGCTATGACATGACTTATATTTTTGCTGTTATTTATTTTGATTGTCTGGATTATACTTAGCTTGTTACTTTTGTTGTTTTTTTTGTTTTCTGTTGTAAGATTATGGATTTGGATGTGGGTGATGGAAGGGCCGCGTTAACCGTCTTTGACTCATTTGTGCTCATTTATGGATCAACGAGTTATATTGCTTCTGTCGAGGTGTTAAACTCTGAGTCTGGTTCGAGGGTCGGCGGTTTTCAGGAGTCTTTTTGTCGGTTTACCTACTATCTGAATGACGTGTTATCAATTTTAGCCTATTTCTTCCCCAAAAAAATTAAGAGAAAAATTGCTTTAAGATCTTAAGATATTTTTATTTGGATTGGTTTGAGTCCCATACCAGAACAGATCATATTTAAATAGTTCAAATCAAACTTTGACGGTTATAGAACACAAATAAACTAAACATCTGCCAGAATTAAATAGACAAAACCAAATTAGAAACTTCAGTCTAATTAAAAACATTCTGTAAAAGCACATACTTCAAATACAAATTAAAGCTATTATAATCACTTAAAACTTAAAACAATAATAAAAAGGAAGAGAAGGGAAATATAAATGGTAAACACAATATGTGAAACGGATTAAATAGATGTGAAATGTAAACATGAATGTTTCACTGTCTTCAAGATTAATCCATCCAGCTCCAGCATTGATGTCGTAACTCCCCAAGCTTTATGATTTTCTTCAAATGCACAAACTTCCTTGACGCTTATTTATCACATGTCTCTAGTTCTACATTTAACAAAGAGAGATTAAAACTAGTGTGTAACAGCTCAATTTAGGCTCCAACGTGTTAATTAATGTACCTTACCAGCAACTTACCCAAATTAGCTTTTTCTTCCAACAGATTGAAGATATATATTAAGACCTCATTTGGTAATAGCCAAATCGGCTGTATTGGCTGATTCTGCTGAAATTTATGAAGTTCTGGTTGATGTGGCTGTATTGGTTGATTCTGTTAATTTGTGAAAAAATAATAATTTAAAATACATATTTTAATAAAATAAGGAAAAAATATATGAAAAAATAGTTGAAATGACCCTCTACAGTAATTTCAGCCAATACAGTCAGAAAAGTCAACCTTACTTTTTTTTATTATTACACAATTCAGTTCGCAAAACCAAAAGTTACGTGTTTGGTAAAAAAAGTTGGCTTATAAGCTTGAAAAGCCAAATATCGTGACTATCAAACGGGCACTAAGGCGAACAAAAAGGAATAGTAACTAATTTGAGGCATAATGATCAATTACTATCAACTTTAGTTCCTTCACACAATATTGCTTTAATGTACTAAATATGGGTCTGATACTAGTGCGTAACCTAGATTTAAGTCTGGTCCGGTCTGCTAAATAAATGTCTTGTTTGTGTGTATTTTATAACTATTGAAGTATGCTCTGGTTTGATCTAGTCTATTTAAGTCTTGTATGGCCTGTTCTGTTCTGTTTAGTTCTGTACCTTTTAGTTGTTTTCATTAATTATTAGTCCCATAAATTTAGTCCCTTGTAAATTTAGTCCTCTAACTAATCGGCTTTTGCGATTTAAGGACTTTCCCCCAAAAAAGCACACTTTCTGGCAGAAAATCCAATGCCGACAACATCTTTACCAGTATAATTTGCCGGAAAGTTTATTTTTTCGGGAGAATGACCTCAAATCACAAAGATTTATTAGTGAGAGGAGGTTGCATGGGTGGTGACTAGTGACCCCTATCTCTTTAGCTACGCCCTTTTGTGATTTCATGTGGAAAACTAGAATAGACAAAATTAAACTCTCAAAAGGGCACCTCCCAAAAGGGCATCCTAGAGATTCCATCAAGGGTTAATGCGTAGTAGCAAGGTGGTCTTACCCTCTTCCTCTAAATCAAAGACGCTTCCCCAAATTTTACACAATATACCCGTCCCCTTGCTAGGTCATTCTACCATCACTTTACAAAATGCAAACCCTAATTAATTACTCCATAATTTTTTCTGAAGATAAAGCACGATATAAATGCATAGCCACAAAGCCTCAGAAAGGCTAAACTTTTAAAGCATATGTAGGTTATGCATGATTTCTGAAGGTGATACATCCTAGCCGTGAAAAGACTAAGAGTCCGTTTGGTAACATGAAAATCGGCTGATTCGGTTGATTCTGATGAAATTTATGAAGTTCTGGCTGGGGTGGCTGCATCGGCTGATTCTGCTGATTTAAGAATAAATCATTTTTAAAATATATTTTATTTATAAAATAAAGAAAAAACTATATGTTAAAATAGTTAAAATAGTCATTTACAGTAACTTCAACCAATACAGCCAGAAAAGTAACTTCAACCTTACTTTTTCTTAATATTGTATTGTAGTACAATACAATTCAGCCCGCGAAAACAAAAGTTACATGTTTCGTGAAAAAATTGGTTGATAAGCTTGATAAGTCGAAAAACAGTATTATCAAACGGCTCTAATTCTCTTTCAACCAACCTGCTGTACTCTCAACAAATAGTAAATTCTATCTTTCCCAACTGCAAATAAAAAGCAATCGATTTCACCGTTTCATCCCAAAGCCTACTCAGTACACACAACGCTAACGGCCAACATAAAGCAGTCAATGGGAACAAAAATATGCCGAGTAATGATCAGGGAAAAATAATTAAAATAAGCCAAACTTTATAGGAGTGTGAGATTAGCACCCCAAACTTGCAAATGTAATTTAAATACCCCAAACTTTATATAAAAAGTTATTTTAGCACCATAGTCAAATATTACTTTTTTCAAAAATGTAAATTTATGGTGTATATTGCATAATTTAAATATTTTAAAATTCATGTAGACACACTTAGCATTCTAACCTTCCATTGCGACATAAGTAATATTACTCACAGTCTATATAATTGCAACACTTTTAATTTGCTATTTTAAATTATGCAATTAACCCCATAAATTTACATTTTTGAAAGAAAAAATACATGACATAGTGCGAAAATAATTTTTTATATAAAGCTTGGAGTATTTAAATTACATGTGCAAGTTTGAGGTGTTTATCTCACACCCCTTCAAAGTTTGGGATATTTTTATTATTTTTCCGTTTTCCGAAATGGTAATAATAAGGGAACAAATTAAACACAGGAAAAGCGTCCATTTCATCAAAATGGACTACACCCTTAGAAGATGGATGCATCAAAGTGAAATTATTCAATGGAGAGAAACATCATCTAACTCTGTCTTGACCTCAAAACAATCTGAAGGATACACAATTACACCTTCCATTGAAAACGTGAATACGGATTTAAAAAAGTTAATTTGCCTGGTGTGCAATTTATTTACTATTTTAAACAAAAAATTACTCCATACTTCACTACTACTTCTAAACTATCAATTTAATTAATTACTTATTAAGAGAATCTAAATGTAAAATTTAGATATAAAGATTGAAGAATTGAACTCCATTGAATTTCTAATTTTTAGAGTGCCATATAGTTCAAAACGGACTTAAATGCTTTAATAAGGGCCCGTTTGGTAACCTTTTTTCCGGCTTATCAAGCTTATCAACCAGTTTTTTCACCAAACACGTAATTTTTTATTTCGCGCGCTGAATTGTGTATAGTAAGAAAAGGTAAGGTTGAAGTTACTATAGATGATCATTTTAGCTATTTTTTCATTTAATGATTTATTTTATTTATCAAATGCATAAATGGTACCCTAACTATTGGTAATGTTGCAATTTGGTACCCTAACTCCTAAATGAATCAAAACAGTACCTTAACTATACATAAATGTTTCAAATTGAGATTTTATTTAAATTTCTAACCAAAAAATCAAACATGGCGGTCAAAATTCTATGCATAAAGTCTACTTCACATTATTTTTGTCCATATGATCACTATAGGATGACTCTACACATGAACTTTTGATCATCATGAAGATTTTTTGGATCGAAAATTTGAATAAAATCTCAATTCGAAACATTTACTTATAGTTAAGGTACCATTTTGATTCATTTAAGAGTTAAGGTACCAAAATGCAATATTACCAATAGTTAAGGCACCATTTATGCATTTGACCTAACAAATATTTTAAATATAATTTTTCATAAATCATCAGAATCATTCAATATAATACAGCCACTTCAGCCAAAACTTTATAAATTTCAACAGTATCGGCCAAGTTTAGTGTTACTATACGAGCTCAAAGTAAGAAAACACAAGAAAAATTGTAGATAGAGGCATTACCTAGGTAGGAAACCGCATGGGTGGAATGAATGAATCACATAGACGGCAAGGGATCTTTGACAAGACGTTAGCACGAAGGATGACCAACGCTCCGACCTTCCTCCTCGCTTTGGGTCTCTGGATTCTGCTGCGGTTCAATGAGCTGCTGCGGTTCTTGTTGAAGTATTAGTTGTTGTGGCTGAAGCTGATGAACAATCTGTGGATGGTCATGCGGATGAGATTGGTCCTCCTGGAAGGAATAACAAGCATTGGGGTATGCTCCCAAAGCCAAGGAAGGCGACATAGCCGCTGTAGGAACAGTCGACTGATGATATCCGGTGGCTGTGACCGGCCCACCGGATTCGAATCCTCCATTATTAAGCCCCATGAGCTCGAGCTGCTGCGGTTGTTGCTGATCGTAAGCCCGGAACATGTCTGTCGGCTCCCCAATCATCAACTGATGATGAGGTTCCATTAACTGATGATGCTGGTCAGAATCTGGATGAGAATCGTGGATCATCATCTGCTGGTGCATGTTATACGGCAAAATCACTCCAGCGCCAGAAGAAGGCGGATTATGATTATGGTTGTGGTTATTATTCGGTACAAACCCGGGTTGTGGGAAAAGCGGGGCCAGAGCATTCGGGCCGATGTAAGTTGCCAATTCCCTCTTGGCACTGCTCAAATCTCGCATCACCTGTTTGAGCCGGTGCTGGAGAACAGACACTAGTCCGACGCAACCGTAAACCGGATCTCGCAGCCGATACTCCGCCTCGTACGCGAGCGAGTTAACGGCGTCTTCGCGCTGAGCTGCATTGAGTTCATTGAGAATCTTGGAGACGTTACTGGCGCCAAAGACCTTGTGGATATTGGCGAACTTCTGTGGCTGGTCCGGCGGGAAATATGGCGCAAAAACGCAATCTTGTGTGCATTTCCGCCGCTGCATCTTACAAGCCGCGCAGGGAGAATTCGCTGAGGATGACATAGCTTTGGATTTGATTATGGCCGTCTAATAAATTTGAAAGACCAACTATTAGTATTGAGCTATCAAGTCTGCCCTAACTTGAATAACAAATTATAAATGTGTGCATAAAATAATCAAATATTACTGTATTGTTGACCTCTCACTTTGAATAAGGCAATTATTACCAAGTTAGAGCTCCTCTTTGAAGACGTTTACCATTTCCAACCTTTTTTTTCTTCCATGTATTGGAACTAATTCATACTTTCTAAATTTTGTAGATACGAAGAATATATAAGTAAATTTTAAGCAAGAACAAAAAATTATTTTATAGATGCTCTTGCTTCTAAGGTTTAACCAGGGGTGGCCCTAGGGGGGTGCAAGTGGGGCGGGCGCCCCAGGCCCAAAAAATATGGGTAAAAAATAGGCCCAATTTTAGTTCTTTGTAACAGATGTGAGTAGGTTGATTTTTCGGCCCTAAAGTAATAATTTTTCGAGTGGAATTTGTTGAAGTTCTTCTGAATGGATTTTTATAGCGAAACTTGTGATCATGTTTTCTATGAAGTTTAGAGTATGTGAGAAAAAATTCAGTTTAAAGTTTAATTTAGAAGTCACCCAAATAAGTTATTGAAAACACTGCTTTTTTACACATATTTTGGCGCATTGTGTTTCAATAACTTATTTAACTGACTTCATGATTGCATTTTAAGTTGAAATTTTATGGACATAATCTACACGTGATGAAAAACATTCTCTTAAAATTTCATAAAGAAATTCCACTGGAAAGTAGATTAGTCTGATATGATGATTTGATTAGTTTATTAATCAATTCCATTCATGGTTGTTTGAATTCTTAATTGTTTATTGTTTCTATTGAGTGTTGGTGTTATAACTTGTTGATTTTGTTATACAAATATTTTCAATTATGATAATATTTATAAACTTAATTAAATTCAAAATATAATAAAAAGGATTGAATCCGAATACAATAAATACAAAAGAATAGAAGATTAGAGAAAGCAACGATAAGTAAAAAAAAGTTCAACGGAAAAATTTGTTTGTGTAAAGAAATCAAATTCTGAATGTTCTTCTCAAGATGAGAACACATAGTCAAATTCTAAATGCATGAAATAGTATTATTATAATTATTACGCATGTCATTTAAGATAAAAAGCGTTCTACAAATTTTTTGTAACATTAGGCCCATTTTAATTTTCCGCCCCTAGGCCTTCGAACATACCGGGCTGCCCCTGGGTTTAACTAATACTTCCTCAGTCCCAAAATTATCTCTCAAATGAGGTTTTGCACAGTAATTATAAAAGTGAGAACTTGAGGTAAAAAGTTATGCAGAAGAAATAGTGATGAGATAGAAATGCTCTGAGTCATACTCCGTAAATGTTTTGCGAAAAATGGAAAGATAAGATTATTTGGAGATTGATGAAAAGGAAAGTTGAAAGATAAATTAGGGATGGAATGAGTAGTTGAAAACTTCCAAACATAAATGACGATTAAATATTAAAAAAACAAAATCGATAAGATGATCAATAATAAAAAAACATAATTAAACTTCAAAAATCTTGTCGAACTTTCAAAAGCTTATACTCCCTCCGTCTCAATTTGATGATCTCGTATTTCCTTTCTGATGGGCCGTCCCAAATTGATAATCCCATTTCCTTTTTGGAAAGAAATATGTGGTCCACATCATTTCACCTTTTTCTACTCAAATCTCAACCACAACTTTTACCTTTTCAACCACTTCCTTAATCTTTGAGCCCAAAAGAAATGAGATCATCAAATTGGGACGGAGGGAGTATAAATCACACAAATTAAAAGCTACTATACCTAACAAAAAAACGAGAATCAAAATTGGAAATCTGAGCTCTAAATGAGAAAGTTAACGGTAGTAAACCTAAATGCTGGCATGACATTTGAAGCTTAAAGTAATTTGAAAACTAAAATTCACAATAAAAATGACATTTGATATCTAAATGGAAATTTTAACATTAATCTAGATGTTGAAATCTGAAATTTTGAGTAATTTGCAAGCTCAAATAATCAATAAAAGTGAACCTAAATGCTGAAAAAATAATAGTAATCCGAGACCTGAATTTAAAAGTAAAGGGAAATCTAACACAAATAGAGCAATAGTGTCCTATGAACTTATGTTGATTTAATATATTTGTTGATTTTGACGATAAAAAAAGCTACATTACTTATCTCAAATCTAAAATCTAAAAAATAACTTGAAATCACTAAAAGGCAATAATTAATTAATTAATCAAAGTCTATTTTAAACTATTATGTAACCTAAAATCTGTTTGCAAAAAAACAAGATTATAGATGAAATCAGAAAAATTAACAATCTCATGACGCAATTGAATATGAAATTGTATACTATCATATATCACTTACATCTGAAAAATGAGGAGCCGCCGAGCCGAGAAGACGAACTAATGAAACTACACGGCGATTCCGATCGGGGCCGGAATTTTACTTTCCGAACGTCTGAAAGGATTGTCGAACGGCGATTACCCTTTTATTTTTTTTTATTTTTTTTGAAATAATAGGCGATTACCTTTTTTTATATCATAAATAGGCGATTACCGTATAAAATTGGTTACTGGTTTTTGAGATAGTATAGTATTCTTTGATGGTAACAAATCCCCCTTAAAAGTAGCAGTATTCTTAGGAATCTTAGCCCCCAACCTAGAGTTTGTTTTTTGCAGTCGTTAGATACTTCGTATTGATTACTCCCTACGTGCATACTACGTATTATTTGTAGGGGTGAGTATGAGTTCGGTTCTTTCGGTTCGGTTTTTACCTAAAACCAAATACGGAACCAAAGTAAAAGTTCGGTTCGGTTTCGGTTCGGTTTTACACTCCAAAACTCGGAACCACGATTTGATCGGTTCGGTTTGTTTCGGTTCGGTTTCGGTTCTTTCGGATTTTTACCAAAAATTTGTCATTCGATTTAAAATTGATATAATAGTTGGAGGGATCAAACATATTACATAAAAAATACAAGCATACTAGAATAAATGAAGTAAAAATAAGAATAAATAAACATGTCTTGAATTATATGAGTATGCAGGAGAGATATAAGTGTATATATTCTTAATTTACATTGTTTGTGACTAGTTTGAAAAAAGTTCATGAATACATACATCATATGATATAGCTGAGATGGATATTTATTTGTTTTATCAATGTAAAAAATGTAAGATACATAAAAATATAATTTAATTACTACTAATAACCTCTAAAAACAATAATCATGCAACAAATTGCAACATACATACATACATACATAAAAGACATAATCGATCAATATAGCTACATTATTACGGGTAATGAATGAGTAAATGCATTTATAAACTAAATTAAACTGAACATAACATAAACAGTACTACCTCCGTCCCTCTAAGTTGGGGACAAGAGAAGGTGGCACGCTTATTAATAAAAGTGGGTTTATGTGGTTGATATTGAATTGATAAAGTAAGAATAAAGTAGGAATGATTTAGAACCACACAAACTTTACCAAATAAGGCGTGAGACAATCTTAATGAGACGGACCGAAATGCTAAAATAGGACAATCATAGCGGGACGGGGGGAGTATTTCTGTAGTACAAAAAACATCAAAGACTATTGATGATATTAGGATTAATGATTAAAAATTAACAAATAAATTTTCATATTTTAATTAGTTCGGTTTGTTTGGTTCGGTTCGGTTTTGAAGGGTAAAAACCAAAACCGAATCAAACAACTACGGTTCGGTTTCGGTTTTTAGCGGTTCGGTTTTATTTGGTCACGGTTCGGTTTAATTTGATTCAATTTTCGTTTTTTTTTATTTTCCGGACCTAGCCCTAATTATTTGTTTATTGTATTTTATTTTAATTTTCCGTTCTCTACTTTTTTGTTCTTTTTAAAGAATCTTTGAGCTAAATAAATTCTAAAAAATATTATTTCTACTTATCCAGGCTAGCTTCTGCTAACTTTGAAAGATCTATCAAGACAAGATTATTGTATAGTATTAACATATTTTGTCGTAAATGATGCAAATTTTAAATCAGTTTATAAGAAGTTATTAAATCTCCATAAAAAAGAAGTAATTAAATCTATTCTTTTGACATTTCACTTACATGTAATTAAGAGTGTTTTGGTGATACACAATTCACCGAATTGCGTCAACTTGCAAATATTGGTGAAATTATGACAGAAGTGGCTAAATATATATGTTGGATGAACTGGATTATGAAAAAAATAATACTCCAGGGTATTTCATATACAATAGTATATATAAAGAAAATATTATTCCCAAAAAAGCTAAAATCTAGCAATTTCAGTTAGAAGGTTACCATCTATCATATTTATTAGTTTAGCAAGAAAAATAATTTCAATTTTTAATTACTACATACGTAATACTACTACGTAATAATCAAGTGCGTCAAATTTAAAGTAATGTGTGTTTGAAAAATAAAAATTGACTTAACAAACTGATAAGTCTAATATAGCACTAACTTACGGGCTTCACTGTATGGCTGCCTTTTTTTATATCATCAATACACTATAAAATTATTATATCAAAATCATACTCCGTATTAGGTATCTTCCAAAAAGTTAGAAGGTTTGTCTGATTTATCAAATAAAGAAGTTTTTTGTAAATTATAATTTCCTGTTAACAATTTAATACTCCAAAAAAAAAATCAGGGCGTCCAAAATAAGTAACACCTGTTCCAAATAACAAGATTGTATGCCGGAGCGAGATTTGACTCTTCCTCTGATTTAACATTTAAAGAACCCTGAAATTTTCTGGTAGGGAATAATAAATCTTGTATCGGGGAGAAAATAACGCTATACTTGTCAACAATCAATCAGTTATATTACAATCATGTGTATTATTATGTACAATTATTATAGAATAAAGAGTATGGCCTATGGGAGTTCTGCAAAAAATGTTACGGAGTAATATAATTCAAATTTACCTTTCCCTCTTCGGAAATGTAAGTGGAAAATGGAAAGAAAAAAAAAACTGCTTGGAATTCAAAGGCATTAATCATAGATGCAATATATTGAGTGAAGTTTCAAGTTCCCATTTTTTGGAAAAAACAGCTTGGAATTCAAAGGCTCAGCATGTCCAAGCAACATGGTAAGTCAATACCATAAATGCTCATACAGAAGTTATTTTATATCCAATGAAAGTCAAGTCATGAACTAGGATGTTTTCTTTTGGCCTGAAATTTGCTGGTCTGGTCTGGTCTGGTCTGGTAAACGTTTGGTCTTTGTGTATTTTATAACTACGAAAGTCAAGTCTGGTCTGGTCTGATCTGATCTGGTCTGGTCTGATCTGGGACTGAAAACAGTCCAAAAGAAAACATCCTAATAGGAGAAGGGACTTATGACCGGACAAAAATAGGACCATTTTTATTAATGCCAAACAAGAGACCAAAATTCTAAACTTACTTTATAGAAAAAAAAAAGGATGACACCCCATCCCTGAGGGCCCCCCAACACCGACCGGACGGCACGATGGGAGGATGTAAATTGGACTATAATCACAATCTGACAGATAGAGAGTGGGGCTCTGTCCCCGGTACTTGCAGAGGCCCTATGCATTTTTCAGCATAGTAACCTCTCATCGCAGTTGCCGGGATTTGAACCCGAGACCTAACCCTTGTGGCACTCCCTTACGTTATAGTGTTACATTTTTAGAGCGAGGACTCGTCTCTCTCACATCTTCAACGATAGCGGGCAATGCTCCACTTAGCTTCAACAAGCTCGGCGACCCACTAAACATGTCGGACTCCGAAACTGATAAATCTATTGGAACTTGTTTCCGAGTACATATCGTCTACCTGATCTTTCACTTTAAATATTACTCCGTAGTTCTGTTTATGGTGACATTTGATTAAAAACATCATTAAATATTAAAATAAATGTATGGCAAAATCTTGATTATGCCAGATAATAAACATAACTTAATACAACAAATAAAGTAATTCACCAAGCTCACATAATAGCAAATAATCTAAAATCATCTATTAAAAATCAATCAAACTTCTTTCTTTCATTTGATTGAACACATATGTACTCGAATAAATGTGGTACATTCATAAGGTCTCCTAGTAAGCTCTTACTTAAAATCTTTATTTAGAATCGTCAAAATTTAGAATTCTTTGTCTTAATGAGCCAAATAGCTAAAACTTTAAATTTCAATATATTTCCTGCTATACTCACAAAACGTGATCTCCCAATTGACAATAAACAAATCTTCAAATTCAAAAATCATTCTGCAGCAAGAGGCAAAATCTGATTTGTAGGATCACTATGCGAAATCTTAAAACAGTCCATTTCCCAAATAAAATCATTAATTATTTTGTTCTGTCTAAATCTCTTTGTGAACAGTTATTATACTCATGATTGCGTATAAGACTTGGACAATTAAACATACTAGGCAAGATATGGTGATATAAGGAAAACATGAGCTTAAACATAGGGTTGAATGAAAAACTTTTGGATGAAGAGAATACAATGATCGACTGCGATATTAGGTATTTCTTTAATTAGAGATTTCAATTTCGAAGGAAACATTTATCGGGCAAAGACAATAACATTTCGTTAAAGTATAGTGTTTCAGCTCGAGCTAAAAAAATTAAATAATGTTCTCCACTTATAAAAACTATATATATTTAAATTTATTTTTTTTTTTTGAATGAAGGGGGCTTATATTAGAATAAAAGCATTCAGCAAGGATCTAAAATAACAAGAGCACCACCCATAACCATCCGCCCTTGGGCCAGACTCTGAGTTAACCACCTTCAAAAAAGCAGTATAACTCGCTGATCCTAAACTGGGCATAACTGAGCCAATAATGGTTACTGCAGCACACTCATCACCCGAGCCTAATGCAAGAGTCTTACAAAAATAACCAAAACCAATAACAAAAACAACAGTCTGACCATCAAAAGAAACAAAGCAAGCAATAATAAAATAAGCACCACCGTGGAAACTCTGCACCTGCAGCTTCATGAATACTTCAGGCGGGCCTAGGAGCTGAGACCCGCCTCCTCCCCGTTTTTTGTGCTGTCCAGTGCCATCTCCTCCCCTGAGATGTTTTCTTCTGACGGCTCCTTCCAAACTCTCCTGCGCTTCTGGTCCACCGCGACCTCCCCAGCACCGCTTCTAGTCTCTTCCTTTGTGCCACTGCTTTCAGACTCAGCGGTACTTCCCCTGCGGTCCTGTCTCATAGTGCCCTCTTCCTTTTGTTGAGCCCTCCATTGCTGACTCGAAACTCCATGTTTATCCCCCAACCACTTGCCGCCCCTCGTGGGGCTGATCTTACCCCCACCACCTGCTCTGAGATCAGCACTAAAATTTTTCTCCAAAACTAGATCCTCCACATATTTTAACGGGCAAAACTTCTCAGAGTGCCCCATAATCCCACAAATGAAGCAGAAGTTTGGTAGTTTTTCATATTTAAAATCTACCCAGTGTCCTTCCCCTCCCTTAGTCAAAGTAGAACCTTTTTTAGGGGTCTTCTTATATCCATCTTTACCCTAACCCTCAAGTAAGAACTCCATTTTTCTTTAAAGTGGCTTTCA